CACGTTTATAGGGTATACCCTTTGGTCGATTGATGATGCATGGAGGGGACTGGAACCATGGCAGTGAAATGATGTATGGTGGAACCAATGTAAAACTAAAGTTCTCCCATGTAAAATATCATATAATTCACAATAAAACATGGGGAAAAAAATTTCCAGGATAAACAGAAGCTAAGAGATTTTGCCAAAGCCAACTCTGCTATGAAAAACATCCTAAAGGAAGTTCTGTGGACTGAGAAACAACAACAACCAGAGAATGACGTACATGGCAGCATCACCCTGAACTCAATCGACAAATGGAAGAGTCAAGAACAGAATAAAATGATAAGAACAGAGGCTTTGGGGTGGGGGTAGGGAGTCAGTCTATGATCAAAACAATTACAATGTGAAAGAAGGTAAACAGAGGAACAGAGATCCAGGTCAGGTAGATTACAGGATAAAATAGACCGTTTTAAATGCAGGGAAGAATTAATGGAATATAAGGTAACCACAACAATGGGGTTGGGGTGGGGGATTTAGTTCAAATGTTGGGGAGGGCAATACAAGAAGGGGGAGGAGGTGGAAGAACAAGATAGATAGGGGAACATTGAGACAAGTTTGCATGTCCTTACTGGGACAGAGGTAAATAGTGATGCATGCTCGACCTTGGAACAACAGGGCTCTGGGATACAGGGATCTAGGTATAGCTTGAAGAGGGGAAATAATACTAAAATGTTTGACTGTCTTAAGAATATAGTTTCCCTTGCCTATTATTATAAAATAGACACTTGAGTGGGATAGAAAGGAATGTTAGGAAACATGATTAGAGAAAACTTGTAAGCCCGTCTTCAGCCTATAACTGATTCGAATACCTAAAAGGGGTTCTAGAAATTGCCCAGTGAAATAGGCCTTATGCAAAGCCTTTACAGAGGACAGGACTTTAGATGGAATCCTGGGTCCCATTCAGAACCTTCTGAGGTGGGACATTCCCGCTAGAAAGGACAAGCAGACCACCCTGGAACACCTACAGTGACAGAAGATACGTCTTCAAAGAAAGATCATCAGGAAAAACCCAAAACAAAAGTGTCAGCATGACTGGCTACTACAAGAAAAAGCAAGCTGTTCACCAGGAAGACATCAAGGCTAGCAATCAAGTTCCTTCAGGACAAACTCCCCTCTAAGACTGAAACTCAAAGGGAATACACAAATAAGCATGTAAGCTTGCTGGCGACCACACTGATCTACTGGTGAGGGGAAGAGGGGAAAGGCAGCAATGAAGAAATGGGCTGAGTTCAACCACAGTCCGTTGACTCCCGTTGACCTGGAGATGAGAGAGAGAAGAGGAAGGGCTGGTTGGTCCAAAGTGTGGTGAGACCTGAGGACACTTGAGCCCATGGACAAGGACATAGCCACAGAGGGCTAGAGCTGAGAGTAAAGCATCCAGCTGATATGAAGTGA